TCCCCAGTCTCTACTAAAAATTACAAAAATCTTAGCCAGGTTGTGGTGCACGATGCCTGTAATCCTAGCTACTTCAGTGAGGCTGAGGTGCGCCGAGGATGAAGTTCACTGTGGACGTGGAGGCAGAGGTTGCAGTAAGGCCGAGATCGCCCGTTGCACGTTCCACGCAGCTGGGCGACAGATTGAAAGCTCGCGTCTAAAAAAGAAAAAAGAAAAAAAAGAGCAGAAGTATCGCAAAACGCTGCAATTACTTGTTGCACGGTCACCGCGCCGGTCACATAGCAGTATTAATTTCAGGTTCTCCATGTTGGTCAGGCTGGTCTTGAACTCCCGACCTCAGGTGATCCTCCTGCCTTGGCCTCCAAAAGTGCTGGGATTACAGGCATGAGCCACCACGCCCTTGCCATTACTTTCAATAGCAAAAACCACAACTACTTTTTCACCAATCTATATAATGATTAGAAATATATCCCCTACTCAGGAGGGTGAGGCAGGAGATCCTATCGTGTCAACCCAAGAGTTTGAGGCCAGCCTGGGCAATATGGGGAGATTTTGCTTCAAAAAAAAGGAAAAAGAAATATATCCCTCTTTGTGAAGTAGCAGCAGTTACATTTAAAATTTAAAACAAGATAATATTTTATTTAGGCCATGTTAATATTTTCTAATGTACTTGTCTCTTCCACCTGTCTGCAGACAAATCCAGAATATGATCCTTCACGGTGTTTTGCCTTTGTTCACGACCTGTGTGATGAAGAGAAGAGTTACCCAGTGCCCAAGGGCAGTCTTGATATTATCATTCTCATATTTGTTCTTTCAGCGATTGTTCCAGACAAGTAAGTTTGGGTCCCTTGGCCGGTAGTGTCACAAAAAGAAAGCTTTGGTGAGGGACCTTTTTTTTAAGATAGGGTCTTGTTCTGTCAGCCCAGGCTGGAGTGCAGTGGTACAATCATGGCTCACTGCAGCCTTAACCTCTTGGACTTAAATGATCCTCCCTCCTCAGCTTCCCAAGTAGGTGGGACCACAGGCATGTGCCACCAGTCCTGGCTAATTTTTGTGTTTTTAGCATAGATGGGGTTTTGCCATGTTGCCCAGACTGGTCTTGAATTCCTGGCTCAAGCGATCCTCCCACCTTGGCCTCCCAAAGTGCTGGGATTATAGGTGTGAGCCACCATGCCCAGCCTGGTGAGGGACCTTGATATTAGAGTTGGGCTAGAAGTAAAAAGAGTTTTGTTTATGTTCTGATAGACACAAAGAAGCCACACCATTTGTAATGATGTGAGCATCTCAACCATTTTCCTAAATTTGGCTTGATGTCCAGCTTCTGCTCTGTCCTCGAAACTTCTGCCTGCTGGCTGCAGTAGTTGGTTCTTCATTTCCTTATTGTGGCTCAACATTGGGAAAGAATGGGAAATCAGTCTCTAATGAGTATGTGGGGAAATTCCTATTGATAATCTCATCACATGCCATTTTAGAACTGTGGGTGTCACAGCTTTTAGGTAATGTCTCATTATTGGCCTTTTATTTATTTATGTATTTATTTATTTATTTATGTATTTATTTATTTTTAATTTTGAGACGAGAGTCTAGCCCTGTTGCCCGGGCTGGAGTGCAGTGGCATGATCTAGGCTCACTGCAACCTCTGCCTCCCTGGTTCACACAATTCTCTTGCCTCAACCTCCTGAGTAGCTGGGATTACAGGCACCCGTCACCATGCCCAGCTAATTTTTGTATTTTTAGTAGTGATGGGGTTTCACCATGTTGGCCAGGCTGGTCTCAAACTCCTGTCCTTGTGATCTGCTCACCTCGGCCTCTCAAAATGCTGGATTACAGGCGTGAGTCACCACGCCCAGCCTTTTTTTTTTTTTTTTTTTTTTTGGAGATGGAATCTTGCTCTATTGCCCCAGCTGGGGTGCAGTGATGAGATCTCAGCTCACTGCAACCTCCACCTCTTAGGTTCAACCAATTCTCCTGCCTCAGCCTCCCGAGTAGCTGGGATTACAGGTGTAACCATGCCTGGCTAATTTCTGTATTTTTTTTTTTTTTTTAGTAGAGATGGTGTTTCACCATGCTGGCCAGGCTGGTCTCGAACTCCTGACCTCATGATCTGCTCGCCATGGCCTCCCAACAAGTGCTGGGATTATAGGCATGAGCTACCTCATCCAGCCTATTGGCCTTTTAAATGCTTTAAATAAAAAAACCTTATTAGCAACACAAAATTTATATTGAAGCTTAACTAAAGTGTTCTCTGATGCTTACAATGTTTTGGAAAAGTGTGGTACAGAATTCTATAAAAGCAGATTCAGATTAAAAGAAAGTCAAATGCTATATCCTAAAATACACCATTAAAATCTCATATGCATCAGGCAACCAGTGGTCCTATGAAACTACCTTCTGTTTGTTTTTTTTTTGTTTGGTTGGTTTTTGTTTTTTCTGAGATGGAGTCTCACTCTGTTGCCCAGGCTGGAGTGCAGTGGCAAGATCTAGGCTCACTGCAACCTCTGCCTCCCAGCTTCAAGTGAGCCTCCTGCCTCAGCGTGCCGAGCAGCTGGGATTACAGACACGCACCACCACACCTGGTTAATATTTTTTGTATTTTTAGTAGAGACGGGGTTTCACCATGTTCGCCTGGCTGATCTTGAACACCTGACCTCAAGTGATCCAGCCACCTCGGCATCCCAAAGTGCTGGGATTACAGGCGTGAGCCACCACACCTGACCAAAACTACCTTCTCAAGGAAGCAGAGTCAGAGATGGTGGCTAAGAGATTCAGACACCATTGACTAATTCCATGGAAGCCCTTGTCACCGCCAGAGTGCAGTGAGTCCGGACAGGCTGGAGGTTGGCACATATTAGGGTAAACTATACCCATGAAATCATGACATTAGAGACTTCAAACATCTCATTCTGTGGCATCAGAGTCCTGCAAAGGATGATTAGGCAAATTAGTGTTAAAGGTCAAGGTAAGCTGGTGTTAGGAAGCCAGATAACATGACTAGAGACTGCAGGGACCAGTAATTGAGATCCTGGTTTATCTCCCAGAGTCCAAGGACCCCTTGCTGGCTGCACAGGATAGGAGCTTTGAGTGGTTGACCTTCTCTAGGCCACACTTCCTCTAGAAGGGCACTGAAGTCATCCAACCTGAGAGGATGAATGCGAAATAAAGGCATATGCAGGATAACCCAAAAGACCTACCATGGTTTTATACTTTAATAATTGCAGAGGTTGACCAGGCACAGTGGTTCACGCCTATAATCCCACCACTTTGGGAGGCTGAGGTGGGAGGAATGCTTGAAGCCAGGAGCTCAAGACTAGCTTGGGCAACAAAGCAAGACCCCCATCTCTACTAAAAATAAAAATAAAGGCCAGGTGCGGTGGCTCACGCCTGTAATCCCAGCACTTTGGGAGGCCAAGGCGGGTGGATCACAAGGTCAGGGGATCGAGACCATCCTGGCTAACACGGTGAAACCCCGTCTCTAATAAAAGTACAAAAATAAAAATAAAAAAATAAAAAGTAGAAAAAATAGCCAGATGCATATCTGTAGTCCCAGCTACTCAGAAGGCTAAGGCAGGAGTATGGTTTAAGCCCAGGAGTTTGAGGCTGCATTGAAGTGAGCTATGATGACACCACTGCACTGCAGCCTGGGTGACAGAGTGAGACCCTGTCTCAAAAAAAACCTATGACCTCAGAAGTTTCAATGCTACAAAGTTTTTGAAAATTGACATGGACTAAAACAAACTGTTAAAATTTAAAATTCAAGCCAGCCACCGTGGCACAGACTTTTAGTCCCAGCTACCTAGGAGACTGAGGCAGGAGGATCACTTGAGCCCGAGAGTCCAGCCCGGGCAACATAGCATAGCAGGACCCCAGCTGTTTGTTTGTTTGTTTGTTTGGTTGTTCGTTTTCTGAGATGGAGTTTCGCTCTTGTTGCCCAGGCTGGAGGGCAGTTCCGTGGTCTTGGCTCACTGCAATCCCACCTCCCGGGTTCAAGTGATTCTCCTGCCTCAGCCTCCCAAGTAGGTGGGATTACAGGTGCCTGCCACCATCCCTGGCTAATTTTTTTGTATTTTTAGTAGAGACAGGGTTTCACCATGTTGGCCAGTATGGTCTCGAACTCCTGACCTCAGGTGATCTGCCTGCCTCGGCCGTTTTTTGTTTTTGAAGTGGGAAATGTTCATTATGCAAAATTTAAACAGATTTTGAAATTTTTTTGGTGAAGTTTGTAGCATTTAGACTTCTGAAGTTATGAAAGCTTCAACCTGTACCAAGACTTCTAAAGAACACTGCATATGGAAAGTGCAGACCTAAGTGTAAAACCCTCTGTCTCTTATCCTCATTTGCATACTGATTGTATTGCCATGTAACTTGTATGTTCTTGAGGACAAGTCTTCATTTAACAAACAGAAAGATACAGCCTCTGCATTGAAAGAGCTCAGGTCTAATGGTGCAGGCCATTAAGTCACCTAGCAGAACCCACTGGATGCTCAGGATTCTGCTCAGCCACAGGAGCACAGGGCAAAGATGGCTATCTAGGACCAGGGGGGAAGTGAGCCAGATGGAGAGCAGAGAACTTTTGTTTGTTTGTTTTTTGGAGACTGAGTCTCAGTTACTCTGCTGCCCAGACCAGAGGGCAGTGGTGCAATCTTGGTTCACTGCACCCTCTACCTCCCAGATTCCAGCAATTCTCCTGCCTCAGCCTCCTGAGTATTTGGGATTATAGGCACACGCCACCATGCCTGGCTAATTTTTGTATTTTTAGTAGAGATGGGGTTTCACCATTTTGGCCAGGCTGGTCTCAAACTCCTGACCTCAAGTGATCCATCTGCCTCAGCCTCCCAAAGTGCTGGTATCACAAGCATGAGCCACTGCAACCGGCCAGGAACAGGGAACTTTCTTACGGCAAAAGCAGGCTTTCCTCGGGCCTTTTCAGGCTGAAGGCAGTGGATCAAGGCCACAGCTGTGAGCAGGCAGCTAACGTCCTTCAGTTCTAACTGAAGCAAGGGTAGAGGAGCTTAGATCTCAGGGTTGGTGTGTCAGTTGAGGAGGTCCACTGGCTTTTTGGGATATGCTACAGGGAAAGAGATCCCTGTCTTTAAGGAGACCTGATTGACCATCATTCCCTGCTGCTCCACAGGATGCAGAAGGCCATCAACAGGCTGAGCAGGCTTCTGAAACCTGGGGGGATGATGCTTCTGCGAGATTACGGCCGCTATGACATGGCTCAGCTTCGGTTTAAAAAAGGTATTTTGAGAGCGCCGAATCCTAACCACTAGAGATCATGTCCTTTGCAGGGACATGGATGAAGCTGGAAATCGTCATTCTCAGCAAACTGACACAAGAACAGAAAGCCAAACACCGCATGTTCTCACTCATAAGTGGGAGTTGAACAAAGAGAACACACGGACACGGGACGCGGGGCATCACACACTGGGGCCTGTCGGAGGATTGGGGGGGCTGGGGGAGGGATAGTATTAGCAGAAATACCTAATGTAGATGACGCGTTGATGGGTGCAGCAAACCTCCGTGGCACATGTATACCTATGTAACAAACCTGCACGTTCTGCACATGTACCCCAAAACTTAAAGTATAATTAAAAAAAAAAAACAAAGGTACTTGGCCACTATAATCAAAAAATGGTGCTGCCATCAGAATAGAGACTCTAGAATTAGAGCTCCATATATAAAGCCATTTAAAATGTGACAGAGTACTATATTTTTTAAGAAAACTGAAGAGGCTTATATAATCTAGATATTGAGGTCTTTTTAAGCAAGACAGCTACCTTTAGAAGAGCTTTTATTAGAAAGACATTTGAAAGACGGCCGAGCACGGTGGCTCATGCCTGTAATTCCAGCACTTTGGGAGGCCGAGGCAGGCAGATCGCCTGAGATCAGGAGTTCGAGACCAGCCTGACCAACATGGAGAAACCCTGTCTCTACTAAAAATACAAAATTAGCCGGGCATGGTGGTGCATGCCTGTAATCCCAGCTGCTCAGGAGGCTGAGGTAGGAGAATCACTTAAACCCAGGAGACGGAGGTTGCAGTGAGCCGAGATCGTGCCATTGCACTCCAGCCTGGGCAACAAGAGTGAAACTCCGTCTCAAAAAAAAAAAAAAGAAGACATTGGAAAAACATAAATAATTTTAAATGTGGCATGACAAAAGATGCCATTAAAAATATAAAAGGCAAATGACAGAGTAAGAAGGAATATTTTCAGTGCATATAATAGATAAAGACTTAATATCTTTGCTCTTCAAGGAGCTGTCATGAAACTGATAAGCAAAAGATCCGTGACCCACCCAAAAAACAGGCCAGGAGTATTTAGTCAGTTCACAAAATAACGTATCTAAATGGCCAGTAAACAACACTTCAAGGAAATAAAAATAACAAGTTAGTACTACTTATTACTGGCCAATTCAAAGAAGGAGGTACATTCCTTCATTACTGGTAGAAAGAGAAATTGTTACAGCCTTTTTTTTTTTTTTTTTGTCTTTGAGATGGAGTTTCACCCTTGTTGCCCAGGCTGGAGTGCAATAGCATGATCTCGGCTCACTGCAACCTCTGCCTCCTGGGTTCAAGTGATTCTCCTGCCTCAGCCTCCCAAGTAGCTGGGATCACAAGCACGTGCCACCATGCCCGGCTAATTTTTTATATTTTTAGTAGACACAGGGTTTCACCATGTTGGCTAGGCCCTGGTCGCTCGAACTCCTGACCTCAGGTGATCCACCTGCCTTGGCCTCCCAAAATGCTGGATTATAGATGGTGAGCCACTGCCGCTCAGTGTTACAGCCTTTTTTTTTTTTTTTTTTTTTGAGACGGAGTCTTGCTCTGTCTCCCAGGCTGGAGTGCAGTGGCATGATCTCGACTCACATACAGCCTGGCTGTCTCTTGGGTTGAAGCAATTCTCCTGCCTCAGCCTCCCGAGGTAGCCAAGACTACAGGCATGTGCCCACCATGCCCCAGCTAATTTTTTATATTTTTAGTAGAGACCGGAGTTTCACCATGTTGGTCAGGCTGGTCTCGAACTCCTGACCTCAGGTAATCCCGCCACCTTGCTTCCCCAAAGTGCTGGGATTACAGGCGGGAACCACCGTGCCTGGCCTACAGCCTTTTTTTAAGCACCCAGTTATTGTTCAAGCCAATAGTTTTTTTGAATATAGTCAAGAACTAGCACATGCACGAGCAAAACTTTGTAAACGAAGTGAATGCCTCTGGATAGGGAGATGTTGTGCTTGTCACCTGAGGTGGACCCCATACCACTGAGCTTGGAGGGATTTCTGTTCTGTATTATTCAGTGAGAGGAGAGCAACGTGCAAGGGAGTATTTTAAACTCCATCCCCGTATACCAGTATCTGCAGGGAAATAAGTATATACATGTGTGATGATTTGGGCATTCAGGAAGGTCTGGAAGTATGTGCCAGGCCTGTAAACTGAGGTAAGGCCAGGGAGGTTAGCAGCAGAAGGGAAAGCACGTTCATGATCAAAACAGTATCTGAGTTGTATTTATGATTGTGTAGACACGAGAAGAGACATGCAAAGGACAGTCACCACCAAAATGGTAATGGTTGTCTTAAGTTTGCTTAAACTCAGCTATATTGCTTAATTTAAAAATAATAATAATAATAGGCCAGACACAGTGGCTCATGCCTTTAATCCCAGCACTTTGGGAGGCCAAGGCGGGTGGATCACCTGAGGTTCGGAGTTTGACATCAGCCTGACCAGCATGGTGAAACCCCATCTCTACTAAAAATACAAAAAATTAGGCGGGTGTGGTGGTGTGCACCTGTAATCCCAGCTACTTGGGAGACTGAGGCAGGAGAATCGCTTGAACCTGGGAGGCGGAGGTCGCAGTGAGCTGAGGTCACGCCATTGCACCCAGCCCGGGCAGCAAGAGCAAAACTCTGTCTCAAAAAAAATAAATAAATAAATACAAAGTTTGTGCTGTTAATTTAATGGGGTTGGGGAAGTGAACAAGTTGTTTTCATCAAACAATTCTAGAGTTTTGGAGTGGGGAGCTTAGGAACCTCATGTTTTCTGACATTGGAGTTAGCTTATTCCTGTTAAGCTGCCCTTCCTGAAGCACTGAGGCAGGAGTGCTCTCCACCCAACAAGCTGACTTCTCAGTTAACATTTCCTTAGCAATGCAAGTCAAAGGAGTGCTTTAAAGTGTCTCTGATTTTTAACACATCACTCTGCAGGTCAGTGTCTATCTGGAAATTTCTACGTGAGAGGTGATGGAACCAGGGTTTACTTCTTCACACAAGGTATGAAACACTCATCTTTTTACGCTAAAAGTCCCCAGTCCCAGATGAGATGGTCTTCAAGGCACGTTCAGAAGGAGAACTATCTGGCCCCTCCTGCCTTTTAGGCATTCCGTTTCCTGCAGTTCCCCACTGCCTACACCCTCCTCCACCCTGGGCCAGACACTTGGGCCCCCAGTCAGCTCTGGCTTGTCCATGCCTTCAGTCCTGCTCTGCTCTCCCTGTCTGCCACTGTCCAAAATGGGAAGCCTGCCCGCTCTGCAAGGCTTGTCTCCAGTCCAGCCCATTTCACCCTCTGCACGGGGTTGTGCTTTGGTGCACCCAGGTCAGAGTGAGTCGTGTCCCCTGGGTTCTAGGGGTGCCAGGAACTGCTCTCCTCTGCAACTGGCCCTGTCCACAGGCGTCATCCATCACATGGGCCTTATGAATTCTCCGTTCCTGGGCCCTTTTTGGGGTCACCTTCTTTGAGCCTTTGGTTAAGATGATGAAACTTCTTTCCTAAAACAATTGCTTTGACATACATATATATTTTTGTATAAATTTTAAGGCGTTCATAGAGCCTAACGGCCAAATATAAACCGAAGGTTTTTAAAAAAGAAAAAACCACGGCCCATACGCAGTGACTTCCCCACCTAAACATGAAGTTGCTGTTACCAAGCCACCACTGCATTTATAACCAAAAGGCTGTGTAAAAACACTACAGCAGCAGGCCGGGCGCGGTGGCTCAAGCCTGTAATCCCAGCACTTTGGGAGGCCGAGACGGGCGGATCACGAGGTCAGGAGATCGAGACCATCCTGGCTAACCCGGTGAAACCCCGTCTCTACTAAAAAATACAAAAAAAAACTAGCCAGGCGAGGTGGCGGGCGCCTGTAGTCCCAGCTACTCCGGAGGCTGAGGCAGGAGAATGGCGTAAACCCAGGAGGCGGAGCTTGCAGTGAGCTGAGATCCTGCCACTGCACTCCAGCCTGGGCAGCAGAGCAAGACTCCGTCTAAAAAAAAAAACAAACAAACAAACAAACAAAAACTACAGCAGCTTCCCTGAGCCCCATTAATGAGGACTTAGTCGATAAAAATGCCTTTTCTTGAGGGGAAAATATATAAACATCTTTTCTTTTCCATACTAGAGGAGCTGGACATGCTTTTCACCACTGCTGGACTGGAAAAGGTTCAGAACCTGGTGGACCGCCGACTGCAAGTGAACCGAGGGAAGCAACTGACAATGTACCGGGTTTGGATTCAGTGCAAATACTGCAAGCCCCTTCTGTCCAGCACCAGCTGAGAGGCACCTGCTGCCAAGACGGTGCAAGCTCATTGTGTTTCCGGGCTTTTTTAAAAAAACATCTGTAGCACCAGGCATGGTGGTGCATGTCTGTAATCCCAGCCACTCAGGAGGCTGAGGCGGGGAGGATCCATTGAGCCCAGGAGTCCAGCCTGGGCAAAATAGTGAGACCCTGTATCTGAAAGTAATCATAAAAATAAAAAGAATATAAATGAGGTCTTGTTGACGTTGGACAATTTAGGAATTCAGACTTGAAGCTTAAACCTAGAAAAAGTTACTTTGTATCAGGATTCTAACAGTTATGCTTTATATTTGTGAAGTCCTTTAAAATATAATTTTCTCAAGTTATTTCTTTGAGATCTCAATCTGTCTTAGCATTTTGTAACTAATAACTGAAATTTTATTCAAAGGAACTGTAAACCTTAAAACACCAATTTATTTCCATGTGAAAAAGTGTTATATATGACAAGTGTTTTTTGACTCTAAGTCCATTAAACTTTTGAGAGTGTAAGATGCCTGGGCTAGGGCCAACTGCAGTTAATACTTACCGAGGTTAGTGGAAGGGCTCATTAAGTTGTAGGGGAAGCAAAGGCTGGGAAGAAATCAGATCAGATGTTTTCCTGGACCAAAAAAAAATGACCCTATAGAGAGCATCAAAAATGTGGTGTTCTTGTTAAGTAATTGATCATTGCGTTCATTTTAATCTTAGTTCCGCCAGGCGCGGGGGGCTTACACCTGTAATCTCAGCACTTTGGGAGGCGGGAGGCAGGCGGATCATCTGAAGGTCAGGAGTTTGACACCAGCCTAGCCAACATGGTGAAACCCCGTCTCTACTAAAAGATACAAAATTAGGTCGTCGGTGGTGGGTGCCTCGTAATCCCAGCTACTCGAGGAGGCTAAGGCGTGGGCGAGAATTGCTGTGAAACCCAGGAGCGCGGAGGTGGGCTTGCAGTGAGCCTGGATTGCGCCACTGCCCGCCCCTCGCCCCCCCGCTCCAGCCTGGCAACAAAGGCGAGACGTCTGTCTCAAAAAAATAAATCTTTATTCCATGCGAGTTTTAAGCACTGTTCCCCTCTAACCTGTGCTAAAGAATAAAAGAATTTGGCCGGGCACGGTGGCCTCATCCGCTGGTAATCCTCAACACTTTGGGGAGCCGAGGCCAGCAGATCCGAGGCAGGAGACCGAGACACATCCTGGACTAAACATGGTGAAACCCCGGTCTCTTACTAAAATACAAAAAAAATTAGCCCAGGCATGGTTGTCACGCCGCCTGTAGTCCCCTGCTAGTCCCAGCCTACTCGGGGGAGTTCGGAGGTTTCAGTGAGGCGAGACCCATGCCCCAACTTCACCCCAGCCTGGGGCACAGAGCAAGACTCCGGCTCAGAAAAAAAAGATTAAAAGAATTTCACGGGCCGGCGCCCGCGGTGGCCGCTCAAGCCTGTAATCCAGCACGCTTTTGGGGGAGGCCCCTGAAGGCGGGCGGATCACGATGGTCGAGGGAGGATCGAGACCATTCCTTGGCTAACACGGGGTGAAACCCCGTCTCTATTAAGGAAATTACAAAAAACTAGGCCGGGTTGACGCGGTGGCGGGCGCCTGTGAAGTTCCAGCTACTCGGGAGGCTGAGGCCGGAGAATGGCGGTGAACCCGGAGGCGGAGGCCCTTGCAGTGAGCTGAGATCTGCACACTGTCACTCCAGCCTGGGCGGCAGAGCGAGACTCCGTCTCAAAAAAAAAAAAAAAAAAAAAAGAATTTTCACTTTTTGCAAAATTGTCCTTTTTAATGCACCCTTAAGTGTTTGACACAAAAGGAATTGAGAGAACTTCTTAATTTTAGCCACATCTGATCTCTTCACTTCTAAATGTGATCATTGTCAGTGTTAGATGCTTGCTTTTTTTTTTTTTTTTTTTTAGGAGACAGGGGTCTCACTCTGTTGCCTAGGGTAGACTGCAATAGTGCAATGATAGTTCATTATCACCTCGAACTTCTGGCTCAAGCCGCTCCTCACACCTCAGCCTCCTGAGTAGCTAGGACTACAGGTGGGCACCATCATGCCTAGCTAATCGTTAGATCCTTTTTTTATGTTCTGCATTTTCCAGTTATTTTTACATATTTCTCTCTTGATCCATGCAGTTATAGGATATATTCTTAATTTTAGAAAGTAAGGACTTTTCAACCTGATGTGGTGGCTCACGCCTATAATCCCAGCACTTTGGGAGGCTGAGGTGAGGACTTGAGGTCAGGAGTTCAATGTCCATCCTAGCCAACATGGTGAAACCCCATCTCTACTAAAAAATAAAAAATCAGCCCAGCGTGGTTGTGGGTGCCTGTAATCCCAGCTACTCAGGAGGCTCAGGTAGGAGAATTGCTTGAACCTGGGAGGCAGAGGTTACAGTGAGCCGAGATGGTGCCATTGCACTCCAGCCTGGGCAACAAGGGAAACTGCATCTCAAAAACAGAGATGCCTAGCTTTCACCTTGTTAATGTTTTTCTAAATTTTGGAATAATAAGCTTATATAGGAATACTGCAAGAATCGTCCATTTTTTTCTGATGTCCCAACATCACCAAATGTATTACCAAATGTATCCATCACAAGTAGGAATACATAGAAACATTACTGCTAGCCACTAACCATTCATGTTTGCCCAGTAGTCCCAATAATAGCTTTGTCACACAAAAACACGATTATGTTGGCTGGGCACAGTGGCTCCAGTATTCCTAGCATTTTGGGAGCCCAAGGCAGGAGGATGACTTGAGGCCAGGAGTTCAAGACCAGGCTGGGTAATGTAGCAAGACACTTTTGTTTGTTTGTTTGACACAGTTTCGCTCTTGTTGCCCAGGCTGGAGTGCAATGGCACGATCTCGGCTCACCAAAACTTATGCCTCCCAAGTTCAAGCGATTCTCCTGCCTCAGCCTCCCTGGTAGCTGGAATTACAGGCATGCACCACTATGCCCAGCTAATTTTTTGTATTTTTAGTAGACAGCGAGGGTTTCTCCATGTTGTTCAGGCTGATCTCAGAACTCCTGACCTTCAGGTGATCCACACCTCGGGCCTCCCAAGTGCTGGGATTACAGGCGTGAGCCACCGTGCCCAGCCAAACCCTATACTTTTTAAAAAATGTTAAAAATAGGCCTGGCCGGGCTGCACACCTGTAATCCCAGCATTTGTGGGAGGGCCGAGGTGGCGGGGTGGATCCATTTGAGGTCAGGAGTTTCGAGACCAGGCCTGGCCAACATAGTGAAACCCCGTCTGTAACTAACAATACAGGCCGGGTGCAGTGACTCACTCCTGTAATCCCAGCACTTTGAGAGGCCGGAGGCAAGGTGGATCACCTGGAGGTCGGGAGTTCAAGACCAGCCTGACCAACATGGAGAAACCTCTGTCTCTACTAAAAATACAAAGTAGCCAGGCTGTGGGCGCATGCCTGTAACCCACTAGGCCAAATTTTGACTCTATAAGGACTTTGCATAACGTTTCATCCTCAGAATCGGCTGATGGGCAGAGAGGACAGTTACATGTGGGAGCTGAGGCAGGGAGAATCACTTGAATCTGGGAGGTGGAGGTTGCAGTGAGCAAGATGGCGCCATTGCACTCCAGCCTGGGGCAACCAAGAGTGAAACTCCATCTCAAAAAAAAAAAAAAATACAAAAAGTAGGCTGGGCATGGTGATGCACCTGTAATCCCAGCTATTCGAAGCTGTGTGTCCGGAGAATCATTTGAACCTGAGAGGCGGGAGGTTGCCGTGAGGCTGAGATCGCGGCCACTGCACTCCAGCCTGTGGCAACAGCGGACTCCGTGCTCAAAAAAAAAAAAAAATTGTAAAAAATAAATAATTGTATTGAATTTAGTAGTTGTGCCTCAGTCTCCTTTAGTCTACGGTTCAGTCTTGCTTTTGCACCTTAAGGCATTTTAAGGTAAGAGGCTATTGTGTAAACTCGAAGTCGGTTTGTTGATGTTTCCTCCTGATTTGGTTCAGGCTCTGCATTTTGGGCAGGAATATTCAGAGGTGATGCTGTGTTCCCCCCATAGGATTGTATCGGGCAACACATGATTATGAATTTCCCCATTATTGGTGATGTCACTTAGTTGTGGTGTATGCCGGGTTCTGCCACTGTAAAGTTAATATGTATTCTGTAGGGAAGTACTTTGAGACTAAATATCCTGTTCCTCATCAAACTTCTACCCCCTAGTTTCAGTATCTATTGCTGTTTTTTGGCTGAATAACCATGATAGTTGCCAAGTAGTGGTTTCTGATCCTTCCATTCCTTCTACACTGATTGGTTGGAATTTTGTACAGAAAAGCTTTCTCATATCTGATTTACTTGTCTCAATATGGACCCATGGGTATTTGAGTTTCTTGTGGGATTATTTTGTTGTTTTTGAGACAGGCTCACCCAGGCTGGAGTGCAGCGGCACGATCACCGCTCACTGCAGCCTCGACCCCCCAGACTCAGGTGATCCTCCCACCCCAGCCTCCCAAGTAGGTGGGACTACCGGCATGTGCCACCAAGCCTAATTTTTGTATTTTTTGTAGAGACAGGTTCACCATGTGTCCCAGGCTGGTCTTGAACTCCTGAGCTCAAGCAGTCCTCCCACCTCTGCCTCCCAAAATGCTAGGATGAGCCACCGCCCCTGGCTTATCACTTAATGGGTTTTCAAAGGTGGCAGCAAAGAATGAAGGGAGAAAGGGAGCTCCCATCTTTTCCATTACTGTATTTACTTAAAACTGGAAAAAAAAATGAATCACTGGGATGGTATTTCATTTATCTTTTGAAATGAAGAATAGATACATTCATTTAAATGATTCTCTAAAGACTGTCCTTCAGCATCCCTAAAGCATTTCAAAACTATAGGCACAGTTTTTATTTTCTCTTTCTGGCACCTGGTTTGGGCTTTGGGCTCAGATTAAAAACATGAGCCTTCTCCTGCCCCTGCTCCCTTTTATTCTCTGCTATCTTCTAAGCTCGACTTTTTATCTCTCAGGCCAAATTTTGACTCTGTAAGGGACTTTGCATAACGTTTGTTTCATCCTCAGAATCACTGATGGGCAGAGGACAGTTACATGTGTTGGGAGGGATTAAAGTATATGACATCAGTGCCACTTAAAAAATAAATACTGTCTCAACTATCAGTCTGGCTCTGAATGGTATCTCTTAATATGCTTAATGCAAGAATGGTGGGCCGGGTGTGGTGACTCAGGCTTGTTATCCAAGCACTTTGGGAGGCCGTGGTGGGCGGATCATCTGAGGTCAAGAGTTTGAGACCAGGCTGGTCAACATGGCGGAACCCATCTCTACTAAAAACAAAACAAAAAATTTAGCTGGGCATGGTGGCAGGCGCCTGTAATCCCAGCTACTGGGGAAGCTGAGGTAGGAGAATCGCTTGAATCCAGGAAGCAGAGGTTGCAGTGAGCAGAGATGACACTCCAGCCTGGGTGACAGAGCAAGACTCTGTCTCAAAAAAAAAAAAAAAAGAAAGGTGCTATGTTGGGCTGTAAGGTGGCTCCAGGTGTGAAGCTGCTCAGGAAGTGGTGTGGTTTCAATGTGAATCTAACAGAGAAATGTTTCTGAAACGGACTTACCTTCCTAAGTAGTGTTAATTAGGGTGAGGCGATAAATTC